GTAACAGGTAGAATGCACTCTTTTTTTTTTATAAAGTTGATCTTTTCTGAGTGCATTTTCTCTTTTGATAGGATACTGATAATCCAAAACCCAAGAAAAAGAAGAAAATGATCAAGAAAGGCAAAAAGAAAGGCAAGTATTTGTTTTGTATGTTATGCGAGTGCTTTCAAAAAATACAAGTGTCCAGTGTTGTATATTAATAGATATTTTATCTTTGCAGTTGTTAGGAAGCACAAGTAAACCACTGATGCCAAGGAGACGGTTTAAGCTGAATTTCAACAAAATGATTCTTTTTCATGTCTAAATAAATCTTTCTTTGAGACATTTTTTTCCCCTTCCATGAACGTGAGTGTGGAGCCTTGTGTAAAAAAAGTTAATCTCAGTGCCAATCTGACTAGGCAAGGCAAGTTTATTTATATAGCACTTTTCATACACAACGGTAATTCAAAGTGCTTTACATAAAATGATTTAAAATAATCACAATAATAAAAGCAAGGAATAAAATTTTAAAATGATTTAAAATTAAATTAAAAGAGTTAAAAATAGAAAATGATACCTACAATACGGTGCAATCAGTTCGGACGTAGCACAGTGCTTTCAGTAAAAGCACAACTAAACAGATGTGTTTTGAGTCTGGATTTAAATATGTCTACTGATTTAGCACATCTGATCTCTTCTGGAAGCTGGTTTCAACTGCGGGCGGCATAATAACTAAAAGCAGACTCCCCTTTGTTTTGAGTGAACCCTTGGTATTTCTAACAGACTTGATCCTAATGATATGAGTGGTCTGTTAGGCTTAAATTCAGTGAGCATATCTGCAATGTATTGCGGTCCTAGGCCATTGAGTGATTTATAAACGAGTAATAATACTTTAAAATCAATCCTAAATGTAACTGGAAGCCAGTGTAAAAACCCGTGGACTGGTGTGATATGCTCAGATTTTCTGGTTCTAGTCTACCTTGATTTGCATATCTGTTTCTAATAAAATAAGGTGACTTGAGTGGCATGCTTATTTTTTTCCCCAAGTGTATTCAGTGGTAAAACATTCTTGTAAAAGTGGTCATGAAAAAGTGGCTTAACATGGTTACACTAATTTCAGCCATTTCATATTTAATCAATTGGATCTATTTTGATCATTATGCTTAATCTGGTGAACAAAAATGCTCCAATTCTAGACCATTAATGTTGAAATAAATGAAGACAAACTAAAATGATCATGATTCATGATTTAGTCAGGAGTTAAAACATTTATGTTTTTATCCCAGGTAGAGCCTGCATCCATTACAATGGCTGTCACTTGTATCTGGTGTTTTTAATGTTTTTTTTATTTTGTCCTATTCAGACCATAAGATTGCTACAGTAAATGTAGCAAACCAAAACAACCCACGGGTTTCATATAATTTTTTTTTTTTTTTTTTAAATATATTCCTTTCAGTAAAGCATGGTGGCCTGTGACAAGCCAGAAAAAAAATACAATTCTATTGATGTTAAAACTACAGAATAAGGGTTTTAAAATAAAGCTGAGGGATGACCTCAAAATCAGGACATCAGAACTGGATTTGTTTGATGTTTGTTGTAATGGACAGGGTCTCGGTCTAATAGGTGTGCTGTATAACATTACAAAACTTACAAATTTGAATTCAAGATGAAGAGACATATTATCAAGGACATGCAGTGGATAGAAAAAGACCACGATAAGACATTTCAGAACTTTTTCCACCTTTAATGTGACCTGTACAACTCAATTGAGAAACAAACTGTAATCTTTTTTTTTTTATTTAAAAATAAAAAAACTAGAATAATGTGTGCACACCCTCTTATAACTGGGGATGTGGCTGTGTTCAGAATTAAGCAATCGCATTCAAACTCATGTTCAATAGGAGTCGGTACACACCTGACAATTTAAAGTGCCTCTGATTAACCCCAAATAAAGTTCAGCTGTTCAAGTAGGCTTTTCCTGACATTTTCTTTAGTCGCGTCTTACAGCAAAAGCCATGGTCTGCAGAGAGCTTCCAAAGCACCAGAGGGATCTCATTGTTAAAAGGTATCAGTCAGGAGAAGGGTACAAAAGAATTTCCAAAGCATTAGATATACCATGGAAGACGGTCATGATCAAGTGGAGAAAATAAGGCGCAACAGTGACATTACCAAGAACTGGACGTCCCTCCAAAATTGATGAAAAGATGAGAAAACTGGTCAGGGAGGCTGCCAAGAGGCCTACTGCAACATTAAAGGACCTGCAGGAATTTCTGGCAAGTACTGTGTAGTACATGTGACAACAATCTCCCGTATTCTTCATATGTCTGGGCTATGGGGTAGAGTGGCAAGATGGAAGCCTTTTCTTAAGAAGGAAATCATCCAAGTCCGGCTAAATTTAGCAAAAACACATTTGAAGTCTCCCCAAAAGCATGTGGGAAAATGTCATGGTCTGATGAAACCAAGGTTAACTTTTTGGCCATAATTCCAAAGGGTACGTTTAGCGCAAAAACAACAGCACATAACCAAAAGAACACCATACCCACATTGAAGCATGGTGGTGGCAGCATCATACTTTGGGGCTGTTTTTCTTCAGCTGGAACTGGGGCCTTAATCAAGGTGGAGGGAATTACGAACAGTTCCAAATACCTGTCAATATTGGCACAAAACCTTCAGGCTTCTGAGAGAAATCTGAAGATGAAGAGGAACTCAAAAACCCAAAGCATACATCCAAATCAACAAAAGAATGGCTTCACCAGAAGAAGATTAAAGTTTTGGAATGGCCCAGCCAGAGCCCAGACCTGAAAGAAAAGGATATGAATAATTATCTGGCTTTTGCTATTTATCAGAATTCTCATTGAGATATTTTAAATTATGGTTATCTTTTTTCTTTTTCTTTTATCATTCATGGGATTTTAAGTACAACTAAAGCATGGGCATTTTTCGGGTCCCTGGAACATATTTCAGGTTGGAATGAGTAAAAAACTTTGTACATTAAGTTGGCACGAAAGCACCAAAAGCATAATGGTGGGTTTAGAATGAGTGGCCTGTTTGGCCAAACTGCTTGATAGTTTCCATACTTGACCAAAGAATTTTCCAAAATTTAGTTTGGTTGTTTGTGCTTACTTGATTAGGATTTTAACCATTTAGGTTTTATTCCTATTTTACAATTTTCACAGAACCATGGGAACCTCTTATAGAAGACGAAGAAATGACGTAGTGGAGCAAACATTACACAATGCCCCCAAAGAAAGACCAATCAAACACTTCAAGTACTTTTTACACAATGTCTTTTATTTTTTTTCTAATTACAGACTCATGGGTTAAAAATAAAATAAAAAAGGAAAACATCTTTTCTCTTTTCGTCCATACCCACTCCCCCATCTGAAAAAGGAAAACGAACAGAAACGAGAAACCCCTCTCCACACAAATCCTCCCTCCCCCCGAAATAAAAGCTCCGAAGCCCTCCTTAAGTAACCGATACCTGTAGCCCACGCGTTAGTGCTCCATCGTGCCCTAACTGCACTGTGCACTGAGAAAGACAAGGCTCTAGAAGAACCCTCCTCTTCAACCTCTTTCTGGTCCTGCCTCTCTCACTCACTCGCAATTTAAGCAGCCATTGCTCTATCATGGCTCTGCCTTCATGATATATAAATTTGTGGTGGATGTGTGCAGTGTATGCGGTGTGTCTGTATGTCTGTGTTAACATGGGCCTGGTGCATCTCAGTATATTCATGTTGGTAAAGCTCAGCGCTTGTTATTGTAATAAATGCCTCCCGCAGTGGGCCGGTGGTCGCCCTGTCCACCTCCCCCACCCCCCCACATGGAGAGGATGGGGTGAGTGTGCATAGCGGGAGCAGAAAGAGACAGAGACGCCGCCGAGACTGTAGGGGGTGCCGCAGCCACGGGAGGAGGGGTAGTCAGCCTCCACTGGTCCTGAAACCTGAAACGACAAGAAGTGGTCTAATATACAAAGAGAGAGAGCATGAGAGACAGAAGGGGTGGGGGGTGGCAGAGAAGCAGCACAGGAACAGGGAAAGAATGGTCGGGAATGGCATATGGCAGCGCGAGACAAAAAAATAACTTTTAAAACACAAAAGAAAAGATCTCAGAGCTCAGGCCATGCCATCTTACAATAGTCGTATGGTGTGGAAGATGGTTCAAGAACAGTAAAAGTTAAAAACAACGCCGAACTCTCAACCACTGTCGGAATAACACCGGTGGAGGAAGTAATCAGAGTGAGGGATGAACAGGAAAGAAACCAATGCTGGAGGGAAAAGGGATTCCAGAGAGCACAAACAAATAATAGAGAATATGATCTCAAATAGCACAACTTTGTGAAAACAACAACATTCTTGCTATTAAATTGTTCACATATTCACGTTACAATCAAAAAAAAATTTTTTTTAAAAAGTTAACATTTTTTTTCTGTTTGCCTTTCTCGAGTGCAAACATAAAAGGGGCTGTTTGCGGAGAGAAAACTCACAGCCAGACAAAAGGACACACATCTGCAGCCTGAGATTACATCTTCTCAAATTTAAACAAATGCCACCAAATCTCCCAAACGGCCATATTGTACCTTACCAGGGCGATCGCAACACCTCCTCACACGCACGCGCACACACAATCGCACACTGCGGCCAGTCAGTCTGTCTTTCCAGGAGATGCTCTTTTCTTTCTCCCCGCCCCCTTTTTTTTCTTTTTTTCTTCTTTTTTTCTTCCTTTTTTGAGAGGGGTCTTTTTTTTCTTTTCTATAGGGATACGGGATGATAGTAAGGGGGGATTTCATAGGGGGGGTGGGGAGGTATTAGTAGGGGGAGTACCACGATGTTGTTCGCCCTCGGCCCCTGGAAAAGAGAGAGAAAAAGAGGGTGAGTTCTTTTTTGTGGTTGGTTTAAGACGACGGACACCAATTCAATTTTTTGGGGATATGAGTGTCACTCCCCCAACTCCCCCATCTGAAAAAGGAAAACGAACAGAAACGAGAAACCCCTCTCCACACAAATCCCCGAAATAAACCTCCCCTTCAAGCTCTTTCTAGTCCTGCCTCTCTCACTCACTCGCAATTTAAGCAGCCATTGCTCTATCATGGCTCTGCCTTCATGATATATAAATTTGTGGTGGATGTGTGCAGTGTATGCGGTGTGTCTGTATGTCTGTGTTAACATGGGCCTGGTGCATCTCAGTATATTCATGTTGGTAAAGCTCAGCGCTTGTTATTGTAATAAATGCCTCCCGCAGTGGGCCGGTGGTCGCCCTGTCCACCTCCCCCACCCCCCCACATGGAGAGGATGGGGTGAGTGTGCATAGCGGGAGCAGAAAGAGACAGAGACGCCGCCGAGACTGTAGGGGGTGCCGCAGCCACGGGAGGAGGGGTAGTCAGCCTCCACTGGTCCTGAAACCTGAAACGACAAGAAGTGGTCTAATATACAAAGAGAGAGAGCATGAGAGACAGAAGGGGTGGGGGGTGGCAGAGAAGCAGCACAGGAACAGGGAAAGAATGGTCGGGAATGGCATATGGCAGCGCGAGACAAAAAAATAACTTTTAAAACACAAAAGAAAAGATCTCAGAGCTCAGGCCATGCCATCTTACAATAGTCGTATGGTGTGGAAGATGGTTCAAGAACAGTAAAAGTTAAAAACAACGCCGAACTCTCAACCACTGTCGGAATAACACCGGTGGAGGAAGTAATCAGAGTGAGGGATGAACAGGAAAGAAACCAATGCTGGAGGGAAAAGGGATTCCAGAGAGCACAAACAAATAATAGAGAATATGATCTCAAATAGCACAACTTTGTGAAAACAACAACATTCTTGCTATTAAATTGTTCACATATTCACATTACAATCAAAAAAAAATTTTT